TTTCCTTGTATCCCGAGTATTCATTTGATATGAAAAGCCAATTGTTTTCTGTAAAACCAAATTGGATTTGTAGTCTCAGAGCGCCAAGGTGTGCGCTTCCAGATGGCACTGTTCTGGATATTTCATGAATATTCCTCAGCTCTATCTCATTGGATTTCAGTTTTGTCGCGAGGTTTGAAATTGGAAAGATATTCTTGCTTTTGTTTTTATTATCCAAAGATTCCTTGTAGAACAGTTCGTAGTGCATGATGGAATTGAAACAAAACAATTTATTTGGAGGAAATGCTATTTTACGTTAACTGTTTATTTATTTATTTATTTATTTATTTATTTATTTATTTATTTATCAACGAGCGACTGCCCAATTAAAGTACAGCATAGAAGATCTAATGTAAACCTAACCCTACTTAGATATTTAACTCTTAAAACAATCATAAATACTTTAAAATCCAGACAATTTCTAACTTGAAACAAATTTAATTAAAATATGCATATATGGGGAAATCAAATATTAAATATTACTGACAGGAATCTAATTGAATTTTGAATGCTTTCTGACTTCTGAAGAAATTCAACTTGTTAGAATACTGATTTGTTAACCTTGAGACCTAGAGATGAAGGAATTGCTAGCATAATTAGTACGAAATGATCTCACGTGGAATGGTTGATTCAGTCTTGTTTGACGAGAAGGCACATCGAGATTAATATTTTTCAAGTTCTGGAGCAAAACTAAGAGAGTGCAAAATATTATAAAATAGTGACAGGTACCTCTGATTCCGTCTTACCTGAAGGGTTGAGAGATTGAGAGAGCTTTCAATGATGGAATAGATAATATCTTCTACCATAACGTTTTGTTTGAATGAGATTTTACCCCCTACTGAGCGAATGCCGTGGCAAATGCTTGTTCCGGAAGTTGTTGTATCCAGTATACAACTTCTTCCCGTCCAAGTGATTGTGCACGCGTTAAGGAATACCTCAGTACCGATTGCCGGGTGGCGGTACAGGTCCGCCAACGGGCCACTTTAGGTCTATTTAACATCACTAACACGTAAAAAGAAGGTGGTAGACAAGGACCAGTCGACCGAGGCAGTACCACCCGCTAGCTTTTCCCAGGGTGTCTTATAAATGTCCGCATGTTTCCACACCTAAGCTATGCAGTCGGTTATCTACCAAAACAAAGAAATTAATGATGATGGATCCCTCGAGCACTAAAAACTCCGGACGTAAACTCACTCCACTCTCGGAATGTCCGGGTGGAGGGTGGGCTCGAGGGAACAACATCGAAGATAAAATTTGTTTTTCGAACATCTGCGGGATCAACAGCAACATTGATGTTGTTCATCACTACCTGCAATCCAATCGTCCCGCCGTGCTTTTCTTGACAGAGACAAAAATCTCAGAGACTGCACCGATTAACCATCTCAACTTCCCAACCTACGAGGTGCACTCCAATCTGAGAAAGAACGGGGGAGTTGTGGCTTTTGTCCGCAGCAGTATTTCCTGCTCCAGGGATCTTTCTTTGGAATCAGACCGGAAGGACATTCTGTGGCTTCGGCTCAACTCCAAAACATCACCCAAATTTATTTGCTGCCTTTATCGCTCTCCCTCGAACCATAACTGGGATGACCTACTCGAATACCTCGCCGTCCAGATCGGCTTCCTGAACATCAATCACCCCGCTTCAGAGGTAGTTCTTCTCGGTGATTTCAATACCCATAATGAGCTTTGGTTGGGCTCAAATAAGACCGATGCAGCAGGTCGTGCAGTCGAAGCGTTCGCTCTTACTCAAGGGCTGACCCAGCTGGTGACGAGCCCTACTTTTTTCCCCGCGTCTCGTCACACGCCAGTAGCCTGCTGGATCTCTTTCTGACCGCGCATCCTGCCCCTTACAGCACTGCTGTCCTGTCCCCCCTGGGTAACTCAGATCACGGTGTTGTGGAGGTTAGGTTTCGGTCAGAAGCCGCTGTGGCAGCAGAAACTCGCACAGGCCGCAAAACTTGGCATTACGGACATGCCGACTGGGAGGGGCTCAGAGACTTCTTCTCTAGCTTTCCTTGGAGAGATGTCTGTTTCACTGACGCGGATGCGTCGACTGTCTGTTCTTCAATAACCGAAATTATCCACGTCGGAATGGAGGAATACATCCCCCACACAGTGAAAGTTCCTAAACCAGGGTCCAACGGCTGGTTCAACAAATCGTGTGACACTGCTCGCCAGCAGAAGATCAAGGCCCACAGAACCCCACTGTAGAGAACAGACAAGCCAGAAACAAATATAACGAAGCGGTTCGCAATGCCAAAAACCAGCATGATATAAAAGTTAGGCACAGGGTAATGTCGCAGCGCAATGGCAGTCGGTCTTTCTGGACGCTGGCCAAGCAGATTGAAAAGAACTTCTCACACAGTAGCCTTCCACCACTTACGTGTCAGGATGGAACTATTGTATTCGACTCAAAGGCCAAGGCGGAAGTGCTAGCCAAGATCTTTGCTGCCAACTCCACCATGGACGTCCCCACCAACGCCCAAGTGCCGTCAATTCAAAGGGTTCCCCACACTATGCGGGAGGTAACATTCAGGCATAAGACCGTAAGACGAGTGCTCTTGTCGCTCGACATCAACAAAGCTTCTGGTCCGGACTTGATTCCTGCCATTGTACTGAAGAGATGTGCAGCGGAGCTTGCTCCAGTTCTTTCGCGTCTCTTCCAGATATCTTATGAATCCGGCACCTTCCCAGAAAACTGGAAATTTGCTCATGTACAGCCCATCCCAAAAAAAGGATCTAAAACCGACCCTTACAACTACAGGCCTATAGCTCTGCTTTCTGTTATAAGTAAAGTGATGGAGAGGTGCATAAATCGCGAGCTTCTGGACTACCTCGAACGTCACAGCTTGATTAGCGACAGGCAGTACGGTTTCCGGCACCAACGATCCACAGGGGACCTCCTAGCTTACGTCACGCAACTGTGGAGTAAACTCATCCAGTCTCATGGTGAGGCTCATGTCGTTGCTCTTGACATCACGAAAGCGTTCGATCAGCTGTGGCACGCTGCCCTCTTAAGCAAACTTCCATCCTACGGCCTCCCAGAAAAGCTTTGCAGATGGGTGGCTGACTTTATCTCTGGCCGCAAGATATCCGTCGTAATTGACGGATTCTCCTCTTCATCCCACAACGTCAACGCGGGTGTTCCCCAGGGATCGGTCTTGGCTCCAACACTGTTTCTCTTACATATCAACGACCTCCTTTCCTGCACGATCAACCCAATCCACAGCTTCGCTGATGACAGCACTCTACATGCAGGAATTCAGAGTGACAAGCCGATCTCTGCCGCTGAGCTGGAAAAAAGAAGACTAGCGACGACTTCTTCTCTGACAAGAGACCTGGAGGCTATCACTGCTTGGGGACGCAACAATCTTGTACAGTTCAATGCTTCCAAAACACAGTACTGTACTTTGACGAACAGAAAGCGTCCTAGCGCTCATACAGTTTCGATGGACGGTCGAGTTCTACCAAAGAGCCATTCATTTCGGCTGGTCGGAGTCCAGATCACCGAGGACCTGATCTGGCACGAACACATCTCTTCAATAGCTGCAGCTGCTGGGAAATAGCTAGGCTATTTGTTTAGGGCTAAGAAGTACTTTTCTCCGCATGACCTTCTCACTCTATACAAGGCCCAGATAAGGCCTAGCCTCGAGTATTGCTCACACATTTGGGGTGCTGCCGCCCCGACTACATTGTCCATGCTCGATGCTGTCCAGAGGAGGGCGGTCCGACTGATCGATGACTCTTCTCTAACAGACAGTCTCGGGACTCTTTCGCACCGGCGGGCCGTCGGCGATCTAGCTCTTTTCTATCGCTACACCAACGGGCTTTGCTCCTCAGAGCTCTCTTCCATGATGCCGCCGCGCGATGTGCCTGCCAGACAGACCCGCCTGACTTCGGCGTCCCATCCTAACCGTGTCAAACTTCGTACATCCAGAACTGGCCGATACGACCGCTCCTTTGTCCCGAGGGTGTCTAGATTGTGGAACAATCTACGGGAGGAAGCTTTTCCCAGTTCTACTAACCTTAGGCAGTTCAAAAATCGTATTAACAAAATTTCTTTGGGATCATCATAGCAGCCGCGCTGTTCCGGCATTTAGGCTTCTGCCTGCGCGGCTGTTTCGATATAAAAAAAAAAAAGATGAATCTTAAGAATTTATGTTGCACTCTCTCAATTCCCTGAATATGAACATTATAGTTTGGTGACCAAACACAAGAACAATATTCCAGATGGGGTCTCACCAAAGAAGAAAACAAATATTTATATGGGTAATAAAAGATAATTTTGGGTCAAGAATTACCCCTAAATCCGTAACTTGGGATACACTCTTTAGAAGACAACCTTTCATGGTATAAGTATGATCAATGGGCTCCCTGTTACGGTTGAAGACCATTAAATGGCATTTTTCCACATTAAGTTCCATTCTATTCATTTGACACCAGAGACTTAATGAATTCAAATCATTTTGGATATTTAAACAATCATTTTTATATTTGATTTTTAAGAATAATTTCAAATCATCTGCAAACATTAGAAAACTAACAGACTTAAAACAGTATTTAATATCATTCACGTATATATTGAACAGAAGAGGACCCAGAGGAGAACCTTGAGGTACTCCAGATGGCACATTAATCTCGTTTGATTGAAAGCTTTGTATACGCACTATTTGTTTTCGGTCAGTGAGGTAAGACTTCAGCCATGATAAAAGATCCCCGCAAATTCCTAGACAACGTAACTTATTAATCAAGATCTCATGGTTGACCTTATCGAATGCTTTAGAAAAATCTGTATAAACTACGTGAACAGAATAACTTTCCTCCAAGGATTCCAAAACATAGTTTGTGAATGTTAAAAGATTTAACTCTGTGGAGCGTTTTGAAAGAAATCGAAACTGTTGACTTATAAAACTACTTTGCAAATTTGCGGATAAAAATTCACAAACTAGGCTCTCAAATACCATTCCAATGCAACTCAGTTTACTGATAGGTCGATCATTTTTGACTTGTGAAGGATCTCCAGATTTCAGTATTGGAGTAATGAAGCTTGTTTTCCAGTATTCCGGAAAAGTTCCACTTTTCAACTTAAGATTAAAAATATAAAATAGAGGTCTAGAAATCAGAAAGCTACAATGTTTAATCAACAACGGGGGTACACCATCAGGTCCAGGTCCTTTATTAGCATCTAATTTGGACAGTTTGTCATAGATAGCTGAGATTGGAATTTCATAGATAAACAAATTGATGACCCCATAAGAAAGATTACTATTCTGAACAGTACTATTCTCTACACTGTACGTTTTAGAGAAGTAGTCTGCAAACAAATTGGTAATTTATAAACCAGAAGAACTACTGACATTATTATAATGTACTTCTGAAGGTATGTAATGATAATCCTTACGGCTGTTAACAAATTTCCAAAAATTTTTCACGTTTTCTCTAAGAGAAGATTCAGTTGTATTGACATAATCCAGATAGCACTGTCTTTTTAGATTTTTACACTGAACTCTGAGAATAGAAAACTCATGATGATCATTTAGCAAGCGAGATTTGATGTACTTCTTGTGTAGTTGCTTTTTTTCAATTATCATTTGTTTATGTTCTGGAGAAAACCAAATGGGAAATTTCTTCGCAGAGTACTTCTTCAAAGGAACAAAAATATCAATTGTTAAATATATTACATCATAAAATATATTAAGCATATCACCAAGTGATTTATTAATAAGCAGTTTATCCCAATTAAAACTGGAGAGAAATGCTATCACTTCCTGCACATTTGTGCATTTAAAATCTCTGTAAAAACCACTACAAGTAAGCCCAGAGTTATTAAGGCACGTTTCACAGTTTAGCTCAAAATACAGTGGTGGATGATGAGTGTCTACTGGTAAAAGTGCCTCCTCAGCTGCATGTACCGTAGTTGTTTCATCTTGCATAAAAATCAGATCCAGTAAGTTGTTATTTTCATTTCTTCTATTATCAGGAGAGAGGCAAGTTTCTATTGTAAGAAATACTTTATCGATATAATCTAGCTGAGGAACGTGAGCGTTATATTCGGTAAAAAAGACTATTGAAGGACGTGTTAGTGATAGAGCAAATATCTGATTGTCTGATATCTGTCACAACTTACATAAGTTGCGATAAATAGGACAGACGTGATAATGTTGATTTGTGGATTGAGGTACGTTCCATTTTAAGTAACTTTTCAATAAAAATATTGAAGTAGCCCTCCTTTCATGTTTGTTCAACATTTTATCGTTTCCTATGGATAATATTTTCCATCTTTTTTATTGCCAGCTGATCAACTCCTGTAAATCCAAATTGGATTTATCATCAAGCTGATGCTATTTTGAATATTTCTCATCTCCGCCTTATTGGATTCCAGATTTATTGCAAGATTCGAAATTGGGATGAGATTCCAGCTATTTCTACCTTTGTTCCTGATCCAGGCGGCTTATGAATATGTATGGACATCGATTGAGCTTCATAAATGTCATTGTAGTATTTTGGGAAATATCAGTGATACATATATGGATTAAAATCGTAGACACGATAAATGTTTTATCTGTTGGTATTCCGAATTACCTAGCTTTGATCCCATACTCCATCATTTGTCAGTTTCAGTTATTCTAGGATGGAAATTAGTTTCAATAGACTGTGGATCCACTAATAGGCAATAAAATGCCATTTGATCCACTGCTAATTTATGAAATAATTCTTATTTAAAGCATATTCATTTCAAGACTGGCTACAGGATTTTTTCAATAGTAGGCTATTTCAAGTAGCTCCAAACTACTGACCGACTAAAACTTGATTTTCACTCGAAACTGAAACCAAAAATAAACTTTGGGCTGCTGTCCTAGTTTCAACCAAAGCCAAAACCAAGATTTGTTTAGACGTATGAAAATGTACACAATATCCTGGAAGTTAGAGGTCTACAGGGTTATACGAGCGCTTGGACGTCTTACATATCATAATGTTCTTTTTTTTTCCTCAATAGGGTTACAAGAAATGAATCCATATAGTTAATTTATGAAGTAAAAATTCCTCAATTTCATATCTAAGCTGTGAAATGAGCCACTAGAGGTCAAGTACTTTTATATACAATGTGCGAAATTAATAGTAACCTTCTGAAGCGAGATACTAATAGAAGTTTGTTCCACTACTAACACTTTCGATCAGTATATTCGATTTAGATTAGCGTTACATATATTATAACCTAAACTTGAGTTAACTATCATGACATTTCCCATTTATTTCATAATTATATATTTGCCTGCTGACAGGTTGACAGACAATTCGCATGCAATAGGAACAAGATTTGGGCGATTTCGACTGGTCCATAACCATTTTCAAGGGGAGTGAAGTGCTAACGTTAGCTGACCATCTTTTCGTTTTGCTATCATTAAAAGCAGTCTTTCAATATTATCCCGTTTATAGGGATAATATTGATGTACAGGAAGGATAGCTACATAACGGGTATTGCCTAATATCACCCATTCAAACATTTCATAATCCAAGACTTAGTTGGCAATATGGCATCATGATATTAACAGAATATAATAGGGCACGCTGTATATTTTGAGATGCGCATTAACTAGTTAAAACCAGTAACAGTGTTAGAAAGATCAGTCCTTTATTAGAAAGTCGCAGCATTCAGGTCATTTGCAAGCGTCTAACAGTGCACGTGGTTTAGACAAATTTAAGAGGAAACATGGAGTTGTATCGAGAGAGTTACCGCGCTATGATTTACCATGAGCTTAAAGTCGGCTTAACTGAACATCATTGAATCGAACGGTTACAACAGGCATTTGGTAATGAAGTTCCGCCCCGGGCAAGTGTGTTTCGCTGGTATGTCTAATTTAAAAGAGGACGTGTTTTATTGGCTGATAGAGAACGTAGTGGTAGACTATGTTCTATTGTGACTCCAGAAAACATTGCTAAACTCCAGCGGCTAATTGAATTCCCGCTACGCATATGCGACTATAGAGGCAACTCTTGGTGTAGGATCCGCAAACAGTGCACACCATTTTGCATGCTCATCTTCATTCCAAAAAAGTTGTTGCAGAGGTACAATGCTGCATCACGACAATGCCTAGGGCCACACTGCCCAACTAACTGTAGACTTTTTACGCCAGCGCCACATCAAAATGCTAGAACCTTCGCCTTGTTCGCCAGATTTGGCAATGTGTGACTTCTGACTCTTCAAGAATTTGAAAAAATTTTCGTCCGAAGAGGAAATCCATCAAGCAGCTAATCACTTTATTGAAGGCAATCCAAAAACTGACTGGCTAGAAGCATTTCATTTGTGGAAAGGTTACAGAAGTGCATTGATGCTGGAGGAGAATACCTCAAACATAAATAAACTAGTTTTCGAAAATTATTTTCTAGTTTTCGTAACGTGTAGAAACATCTAAAACTTATCCTGTGGTTTACAAGTCGATATTCCCCAAGCTTGCCTGGCCAATAAAACCACATGTATTGACAAATCTTCTTTACTGTAGTAGACGTTTCAATCAAGTAGGTGATCTTCTTCAGTGCAATGACAATTTTTTATTTATCTGTCGACGAACTGTCACCTGGAAGGCAGATAGATCAAATAGTCTTCTATTCGTCATTGTCCGTCAGGGCGGTCCGTGGGTCCTTTGCTCTTGTATGACAGGAGGTCTGCCGGTCTGGTTGCCCAGATACCAGACGAGGTTAGGGAGAAAGAAAGGGAGGATGGGGGCAGAGCAAAAACGAAGAAGTACACCAGTCACATGGATGCCTTGGTGTTGTCAACTAGCATTAAATTGCTCTAAAAATTAATTTAGAAACTTGCATGTGTGGCAAAAATCGTAATTTTGGGTAGATCAGGATTTGATTTTGTTCACAGTACGAACCGCGGTCTTGTGTGCTTGCGAAATTGATCGACTTTGTAGTCTACTGACTCACGCAACAAAGGTCGCTGTGCGATTCCGCTTGACTATAACGTAATTGCGGCTATTGTTTGATGTAGTCCCTTAGAAAGTGGATGTCGAGGTCTCTGTGGAGACATGCCAAAGGTGCGTTAGCACACAAGGTTCTGTTCTGCAAAACTTGCAGACTACGCATGTGCGTTATCAAATATTATCATTATACAGAATAAGACCAAATTGTGATTTAAGTGCTTACCACAGTAAAGAAGATCTATCAATACATACAGGTGTTATTGCTTAGAAAATCATGGGGGATTATCGTAACGTGTGCCCTAAAAACGTCAGACGTAACCCGAGAGTTCACGCACCAAAAAGATATGTTTTGGCCAAGCCGTAAATTCGACTGATCACTAATCTCAACCAAACTTTTCGCAAAGTCGACCCTAGAACTGAAAAAATTAACGACAAGCTGTTTACCAGAGTGCGCACTGCTTTTCTGCAGTTTGAAGGTAATTTAAAGTTCAGTGAAGCAGTGAGCAGCTCGAAAATACGCTATAAAATCCTTTCCCCTAGTGGAAATAAAACTTCTTCGTAACAGCTATAACCATCACACAACCCTAAAAATGTATCATATTTCCTCGCACTCTATTTTCATCAACCTTGAAATGCTCCCTATGTAAACAAACGTCGATACATATCTCCCGCAGCCGCAAAGCCAAGTCAGAAAAAAGTATCATCTTTCATGTCATGTGAACTGTGCCATAAAATATTCAAGCTGCGGCAACTTGGTGTTCCGTGAAATGGCACCACATTATCTTATGGCGCTACTGAATTTGCTGGTCAATGAATTATGGATATGAAAATACAGAGTATACCCAACATAACGGAATAACACAAGCACGGGTCATAAGAGCGTAAGAACGCTGGACGAAAATAAAAATTACATCACATTTTGAGATTCTAAAGGTTTAAAGGCTATCTATTACCAAAATCGCCCACTGCGAGAGGAGTTATTCGTTGGAACTGTAAGGATCTCAGTTCGAGTTTGATAGCCCAGCCACCAGCGTGACCACTAGAGGCTGACGATTCTGGCGGAATAGTAGATATGGTCTACTCGTCTAACAACTAAACATGCTGCCTCCGTCCGTCTCGGTCATCGATCCTGCTAATAGTTGGCGTTTCAGCGCATATTCAGCTCAAAATGTATTGATTTAAAAAAAATGGGGTCAAGTAAGTTGACTCTGTGGTTCTCACTCTACGGTGTCATCGGTTCGTAAAGGATTATGTTTGGCACAAGTTAGCCTTTCTGAAAAAAAAAAGTTAACTACAAACATGTATACCAAAAAATTAAGTGGTATTTCTCCTCCCCTGAGAGAAATTGCTGTAGGCGCACATGATTGTTGTGATGACCAATCCCGCG